AAAAAAAAAAAAAAAAAAAACATCACTGGAGTTGCAAAAGGCACTGGCGTAGTGAAGCCGCGCCGAGCTGACGTGACTGCATACGCGCAAAAATGATCATCGCACCTTCCAAAGCTAAACGACATAAGGTTTCCACAAAAATGACCATTTTAACGTTGCGCAATAAGCCTGAACTTATGTCCGCTTCAGCAATAACGAAAAGAAATGTGTTGTGTGCCGCGGAAAAAAAAAAGGAAAAAAATTTGCACAAATTCTGAAGAGGGATACTAACAAAATAAACATTTTTTGGTACCTACATGGCTGCTCTACTCCATATGCACATATGTAACCATTTAAGCATATAAGGCAACTTTTTTTCCCCCTCCCTATATAAGGTAGCTCGCAGTGGCGTAATGAACCCGCATGAACGATTGATAAAGCAAAAATAAATTGGCCAAATGTGCTAAATGAGCAAAATGCAGATACACATATATGTCCACGTGCGCTACACCCTAATCACTCCTTGTGCCTTTGAAAGAACATGACGCATACCACGTGGATAAAACGAGACGGTAAATTAGAAAGTGACACCCTATAATGTGTTGTTGCAAAGTTGCGCGTTTCCGTGCAGCTTCATGGAGAGGCAGCGCGCACGAAGCATGCAAGGATAAAAATATCATTAAGGATTAAAAAAAAAAAAAAAAAAAAGTGCATACCCCTCTCCCACACAAGTTATAACACACACATGCCAGTGTGCCCCAGTCAGAAATATTCCGCAAACTCGTCCTTTATGTTTAGGAGCATGGGGTCGTCAAAGAACCTGTTAATCGTAACATCTTCAGTTAACCCTTTCCTTCTCCTCGTTTTCAACAAAAATTCTCTGGCTAAATGCTGAATGGGCGCTGGCTCCAGTGGCCTTAGTACCACTGACTTGTCTAGAGGGTCCCCTGGAACAATATGCCAATGGTCAAACATACTCAAGCAAAATGCTTGCCCACTTGTGTGTGTCCTTAAATCAGTTTCAAACCCAAAGGACTCAATAGCTGGTAAATACGCATGAACCATATACAAAGGGGTACCCACTTTGGGGAAATCTTTCAATACGTGTCCTCTTCTTCTAGATAGCACATTATAAACGGATGACACAGAATCACCTGAGCAAATAATTTCTGTGAACAAAATCGGTTCCATTAACCTCGGCGTAGCTAATAAAAAGGACGAATATATTGCTCTCCTCGTGGTTGGTATAATTTGTCCAGCTCCCCGATTAATTGGGTCATCATCTATTTCACCTTTTAATATTTTTACTTTAACATTTTTCATGCACTCTTCAATTAGGGGTCCCTCCTTCGTGGCCCAGCAAAATCCTTGAATTATATTTTCCTTAATGGAGTACAGGTTTTCCTTGTTTGTTTCTTTATACAAGGAATCGTCCACGAGGATATTTGGGCTGTTGCTTTCCGGGCCGAAGGCCCAAATGGATCTTATGGACAGCATATCCCAGTTGTGTTTTTCCGTGAGCAACGAGATAACGTTCTTGTCTAGGTTGTAGTTCAGTGTGTTCGTGCGCTTATCGGAGGCGACGTCTTCTTCCTCTGCTCCGTTCACACCCACATGGTCGGACTGGTCAGACTGCTGAGACCGGTCCGATTGGTCCGAGTCGTTCACCGCATGCTCTTCGTGCCCCGCTGAGCGCTCCTCCCGCAGAAGCCTGTCGACCGTGCGCAAGTACTCCTCCACGTTGGCGTCCCGCTCGCCCTTGTTCAGGTGGACCAGCCCCTGCACAATATCATCCATCAGCTCCTTCTGCATCGGTTCCACAATCATATGAATTTTGTTCTTCTTATTTGGAGTCTCCGCGAAGCAGTTCAGAGCCGACGTTTCAATAACCGTTTCGTTAAACTGCACCACAGGGTCCGACACCTTAATTTCCAGGTCACCATAAAGCTTCCTCAAGTCGTGCAAAATACAGTCCAAGTATAATTCCCCCGTCCCCAGGATGATGTGTTCACCAGACTCCTCCACTTTGGTGCTGCACATAGGATATGTTTTATCAATTTTTCTCAGGCCTTCTAACATTTTCGGAAGCTCCGATGGGTTAATAGGTTCACAAGCGACCTTAAAAACGGAGTTCGCACAATTTATATACTTGAACTTCTTATGTAGGGGGTAGAATATCTCTGTCTCCTCTTCGTCCTCCAGCAGGAGAGCTCGCTCTTCCTTTTTCAAATTGCTAAGAGATCCTGAAGTGGGTACAATTCCCGTTCCTTTCGTTCCGCTCAGCTGAACCTTCCTCAATTCCTTTGCGTTTCCATTTCTCCTCTTTTTCACATTAGTTATGGTGCACGTTTTGTTTATGCAAATGTCAACTCCGCCAATGAGCACGAAATTGCCCGCGGGGACCTCATCAACCTCAACCCGGTATCTGCCCTCGTAAATCCACAGGTGAGTAACCACTCGAGTAATCATATCTTCATCATCACTAGGGCTGTACCCCTCCCCCAAAATACGAACCGTTTGTCCCTTCCTGATGGTACCACACATGACCCTACCGAAGAGGTCCAAAATGATACACTCCGGTCGGTGGTAATTCTTAATTATGTAAACCATGAGATTGTCCGTTTGGTCTCCTTTAAGGCATCTCATCATATCGTAACATAATTTCGTTTTTAACGAACCGGAGTAAATTTGCCTCGTCTTCTGTTTAGCATTCTCCAATGGGGATGGGCAATTGTCCAGGATGACATCGACAAAAGCTGTTGTATCTTCAAATATCATTCCGTTGATTTTCTTAAGAAGATATTTATTGTTAAAGAGATAATCATTTTTCTTCAGAGTAATATTAAAATTTTTTAAAAAAGGAATTAAGAATTCTTTTTCTTCTGAACATACATAACCGAAAATTTTATAAATTGGGTTTAAAATGAACTCTACAAATGATCTCCTCTGATTTGAATACAGTGGAGATGAAGCGAAAGAAAAATCCTTCTCGTTAAAATAAATGTCTCCCCACAAGTGCTGCGCAAATTCATCAATGTCAATATTGTATGCATTGTATAAATTGCAATAAATTTTACTAAACGACTTGAGGGTAAAAAACACTCCATAAATGCTCGAAGCGAAAAGCACATTATTCTTCAGAGGAGACAAGAGAAATTTCTTCTTCTCCTTTACACTCTTGTTTAACATATCACAAAAGGATTCAATTTTCTTATTAATCTCCTCAATGGTGTAATTAATCTTGTGATAAGCATCATTCGGGGGCAAACGTAAGTCCATTATTAACTTGTCTACGCAGTTAAGAATTAACACCATCTTCACATTTTCATAAATGCATGTCTTTATCACATTCTCCGTCACATACATACACCCATCTGTGACGTCCACAACCAAACAGCAGCATTCACAAATATTCACTGCACACAAAAATTCGTCAAAAAAATTCACATGTCCTGGAGTATCCATAATATTAAAAAGGTAAGATTTATATTTCAAATTATTTTTTTTTTTATTCAATAAAATATTATTAGGAATATTTTCATACATTTTATTTTGAAGAATGAGGGATATAGGTATTGCTTTGATCGACAATCCTCTTGCTTGTTCATCCAACCTTGTATCTGTATAGTTTATTAAGTGGTCGATTTTTTTTGCATTAAATGGAGTCACCATGGATGCATTATTTTTTCGAAGGCTGCTTCTTTTTACTAGTACTCCTTCCATTTCCGTGTTTACATTAAAGAAGCTCACTGTGCCGCTGTTCGGATTACCCCCGCTTCCAATCCCATTAACATAAGTCAATTTTGTTTTGCTGTCCTTTTTCTCTCGAGTAAATTCAATTATCCTATCTATCAGGGTCGTCTTCCCGTGATGGAAATGACCTGCTATACATATATTTTTTATAAATTCCGTTTGGGACATCAACTGGGACATGTATTTAAAACTGAATGTGTTGTTGGGGAGACTCGTTTCAATCAAATCAAAATTCTTCCTGTTCGCCTCCACATCTAACTTCTTAATGAAGCTGATTCTCTCTACGTTAGTGTTTATCTTATTGATTGTTGCTTCTTCTATGTCTTGTGTATCTTCCTGTTCCACGAACACTTCCACCCCTTCGTATGCCCTCTGCAGTTCGTCCATATTCTCCCCGAGGCGCTTTTCTCCACCCCCCTCACTTTCGTCTTCACTTCCTCCATCGCCCTCTTCGCTCCCATCACTACCAGTTTCTTTTTTTCCCCTTTTTTTTTTTTTTTTTTTTTTCTTCTCCCCTTTGCCTTGCCTCGCCCCACATCGCTATCCTCATCACTATCCTCATCGCTACCCTCATCACTACCTTCATGACTATCTGCATTGCTATCTCCACCCGAAGCCGAATCCGCTTCCTGGTCCACCCCGTCACTCATGTCATCGTCTTGGTCCCCATCAGAGTAGTCCCCATCACTGTCGATGTCTTCCCCTATGTAATTTCCAAACTCATCGTACAGGTTGCTCGTTGACTCCATCGCTGCCCACCACACAGATGCCTCTCATCCAAATTGTTTCCTTACCCACCACGGGGTTTTGTGCGTACGATACTAGCAGGGTAAAAATATATAATTCCGCTGGGAGGCACTTCCAACCTTCACCTAAATAACCCCGCAACTTTCCTGACGAACGGACCCCTTCGCGCCTTAACACGCATATAAGAAAGCAGCGTACCCCACTGCAACTGTGACGCGACTTCGTTCCCTCCTTGCAATGGGGTGAGTCGTAAAACCGCGTTATCCAATTACTTTGTTTTTTCTTTATTTTATTATTTTTTTTTATTCCCCTTCTGCAAATTTGAATTTCTTCCTTCCCGCTTCTACTCCGGTTGAACAGTTGCCTTGGTTTGTTTTTACTACACTCCGCCCCCGTTGGGTTGCTCTCTCCCTCGAACCAATTTTCGAATCACCTGTTTAAGCAGGCTTCTGCCCTAACCGTAGTTTATTTTTCTCGCCTGGGATAATGCAGCTTGCTCGCCCTGGAATGTGGCAATTGGTGGACTCCAAATTTCTCTTGCCTGCGTCAACGCTTTTCCGTTTTTTTTTTTTTTTTTTTTTTTTTTTTTTTTTTGTGCGTGCCACACATTGGCTGTCATTTTTTGCACTACATATTATTTGCCACCTTCCTGTTATGTTATTATTATTATTATTTTCCCCCCCCTCGAGCTACATGGTTAATATGTTGGTGGACGGGTTGATACAGTAACTCTTCTGTCGGCCTGTGCCCCTCGCGCGCGTCCGCCCGTGGTTCACGTCATTCACCGTTATTCATTACTTGTCCCCATTTCGCTTCTCACCTCATCAAGCAATCATACATAATAAACACCCATATGAACAGGCAAGAAGAGGCGAACGCCCCATACAATGCCAGCAGGGAAAAGGCCCCCCCTGCCAACGCGGGAAATTAAAAAAGTATCATCCATTTCCATGTTGCCAGGTACAGCCACGGAAATTCTACTAAATAATTGCTTTTCATTTTTTTTTTAAACATCCCCCCACGAAAATGACAATAAAAGAATCATTACAATTTAAACGTAGAAAACTTTTAATCCTTGTCGGTTGGTATAAAATATGAATTTATTTCCCCCTCTCCATAACTGCATGCACGTGGAAGTACATCCCTGGAGGTACCTCCTCATGTGCCCTTCTTCGGACATCCATTCTTTTTGATTTACAATTTGAATACCCTCTGGCGAATCATCAAAAAGGGGGGCGCATGTATAATACATACCGGGTTTTATAGTTAGCCATATGTTTCACGGCGGTTGGTCTTATTACTCTTTTTGCTTGAATGGACAGGAAATTTTTAATCATCACTCTGTGGGTACCTCTCTACATGTTAGCGCACGTGTGTAGCGCACAATGCAGTCCTCCACTCATTTGTGACGCGCGAATTAAGTCTTCATGGGGGTAAACTAAGGGAGCGGTACTGTCCTAAGTAAATGTCCTAGCGGGCACCTCTACGGACCCCCCATCCCATACGATGTCCATGTTCAGCACGACTAATAAAAAAGAGGGATCATAATATGGCTTGTATTGCATTATCATCGCACATGGTTATATACTCCTCCCTATAGGTACTAACGTATATGAGATTTTTCACATCGTCAAAAACGTGCTATTCCGACAGGGTGGATTCACAAAGGTGGGGATGTATTAAAAAGGCGCAAAAGTGATCACCGCGAAAAGGCGGCCTCCATGTTCTGTTCCCTCCCACGTGCTTCTACGCTACTTCCCATTCCGCTTGCACTTTTCTTTTGTTTTTTTTTTTCTCGCATGGCATGTAGCCCTTAAGTTGATAGGCACCTACGCAAGGGGTAAAAAAAAAAAAAATGTGCTAACCAATAGGACAGCAAAAAAATAAATAATCACAATAATAGCAGTCGTGGTAGAGGTATCTTCACACAGAGCCTCCATTAAATTGGAAGCAAACTGTGAAGAAGTCATGCCAGCGGAAAGGCTCACTCCATGTTTTACTGTGCAAATGTAAAGACGCATGCCCAAACCACACATTTTCAAACATCGACAAAGAAACAGAAAAACAAGCGCCTTCACATTCTTGAATATATCTGTAGGCACACTACACTACGGCAGATATACCCTTGTGAAGCTCACCACCACAACAGCAGCACCCGCCCCCCAAGATGAACCCCGGTGATGGAATCGCACCCATCCAAATCAGGAAGATGCGAAATGACTTCGTCAGATGCATCATCAAAGATGAGGAGTACAAAAAAAAAGACGAGAAAAAAAAAGAAATTGTCAAGTATTGTAAAAGCTACAAAGATTTCTGCAACATCGTAAGCTCAGTAAATATGAAGCCAATTAGGACATATGAGCAGAAGGTCTCCTATGAGGATTATGTTAACTTCAATGGTTCCTCCTCACAGTCTCAAATGGAAGCTATTAAAAGGAGAAACCGACGGAGCCAAAATTCGCAGCTCAGCAACTTGTTTCAAATTAATAGCCCGGTGGAACTGCCCTCTCCTCAAGAGGTCGACGAGAGGAAGTCTGGACAAGAGATCCAGCAATTTCTGTAAGCCCCTAAAAATACATGTCGCAAATGAGGGGAGAAGTGTTCCTACACAAAAAAGTGTCCACTTCTTCCACCCTCAACGTAGCTACAAACGCCATTTGCTTATAAAATCGCCACCCCTGTCTCACCGCAGAAACATGTTGTCGGAGAAGCAAAATGATTACGCCAATTTTATAAAACACAATTACACCTCTGATGAACTCACAGAATTGCTTAACCTAATAACAAGAAAATGGGATGACCTATTGGAGACAACTAATCCGGAAGACCCCATCATGGAAAAGGCGCAACAGACATGTCTCAATATCGCTAACTTCCTCATTCATGTGGCGAACCACTGGGAGAAGCAGAATCTCTCCCTCTACTTCACGCAGGATGAACTAAACCATATCAACTTAAACCTCCAGGACATTATTGGAAAAATGGAAAAAACGGTATCTACCTATGATGACGAAACGAATGGCGAAGCAAGCATAATCATAAATCAACTCAAGGTGATTCACTTGTAGCGCAACACCTGAGGGGGTGAGATCTACACCTGCCAACTCTGTGTCGTTCGAACTTAGCGCACACAGTGGGAGTCGCACCCCAACGTAACGTGCGTACCTAACACACTTTCATGACGCATGATTAGACGAATAAAGGTGACACACCAATGTCGTGTCGCCAACTCCTCACCGCAACACCCTTGCGTTGCTTAATTATTTTTAAAAAAATATATTAAGAGGTATTGTGCAGTGGAATATATAAAGTGGGTCAGTTGTGCTGGTCAAGTTCAGGTATGCACATACATAAATATATACATATAAGACACCTGCATGGGTACGCATTTCTGTCCTGTTAGGTCAAAATGTTCCATTCCCTTATTAATCTTTCTCTCGGTGATAAAGTGGCATGCAAAAATAAAAAAAATAAAAAAATACACACGCACATACACAAATTGCACATGCATGTACAAATGCGCGTATGCATCATATACGTGGTCCTGCACGCAAATTACACGTTCCTGTAAAAACGGCGCACATTCGGATCATGATACCTACGCGTATCCAAAATTCTCCAACACCTTGCGTTCCTCAGGGTTGATCATATTCAGGGCTTCCGTCTTTAAAGTTTTCTTCTCGTTCAGTACACTCATTTTCTTTTTATAATATAATTTACTCAGCTTTTTCCTGGACACTTCATTTTTCTTTACCAGCTCATCATAATTCCAACCCACTCTTGAACTTAATGTGCCAAGTCGACAATATCTTCTGTGCTTCTTCAATCTGAATGCTCTTAAGGCACTTGGTAAAACGTACTTTTTCTTTTTATCATATGGGTATGGCATGCCTACGAATACCTTCAGTTTCTTAAGGGCAATTTTTCCCTTGTACGTTTTGTGTGGTAACATTCCCCTCACACATCTCCACAAAATTTTCGAGGGCTCTCTCAAATGTAGAGGTCCCTTTTTAGGGTTCGTGTTCGTTCGAAGCCTTAAAAATTCCTGGTACTTTAGCCTGTTCCTGTATAAGCTGCCTGATATGTTGATATCTTCGCACCTCACTGCGACTACCCTCTGGCCGTTCAGAAGCTCCTTGGCGATTATAGAGGCCAACCTTCCAAGCAAGTGTCCCTTGCAGTCGATTACGTACACCTGATGAGGGGAAGTGGTATAGGGACGCGGTGTGGAGAAGCCGTACAGCGACGATGTAGGGCGAAGCAGAGCAGTTGCGCGGGATGATCCATTCACGGTATCGCTACACTCCCACCTCTAACTCATTTCAACATGCCACATCATGTGCGCCAGTGCATCCTTCATGTCGCTCTGTTCCTCGCTTCATGTTCGGCAAAAATGGGCTCACAGAACAATGAACTTTCATACATACACGAAGCCGATGCACACGAGGTTCTACGCGCTGACCGATGCGCCCCTACAAACTGGCGCGACAGCCTGCCCGCGAAATTGGGTAACAACGCCTTTCACCATCAAACTTCGCGCCCTCTCCACATCCTGCATATGCAACAGTTGCGCTCGCATAAGCAATACGCTCCTCTCATCTCACGTAGCACGTTTTTAATTCTTATTTTTTTTTTTTTTCTTTTGTATCACTCGTGTTAACAATTCAAGTTAACGTTGTCATGGGGCATACCTTTTTATACATGGTTTTCCACTGGTGGCTTAAGATGAGAAAAAAGTGATTTCTGCTAAAACAGTTAAAAAAAAAAAAAACAAACTTTCGCAAATGATAACAAAATGCCGATTTCGAATTCCTGATGGATCTTTATATTATATCATGCCATAACGAAGGAGATGCTTATTTTGTATTTAACATAGCTAAGCGACAGAGAAGAAAAGGGAAAACAAGAAAAAGAAAAAAGAAATTAATTATATATTATGTACCACCTGAACGCAATGTTGGAATAGCTTACATTTTATGTTAAACACGTCGAAAAAGAAAAAAAAAAAAAAGAAATAAAATAAAATTATAATGAAGGAAAAAAAATCAGTGTTGCTGTGAATATTGGCTTATATGAAAAAACCGTTACGAGCTCTTCTCCAACGAATCAAGCTTATTAAAATTGTACTGTTTTTTTTTTCACGTCGCGCGGTGTGGTATTTACTTATTGTATGTTAAGCATGAAGGGGAAGGCTTTTCCCTCTGCCTCTTCGCGCTTTGCGCATGTATGTTATGTTACCTATTTATCGTACGTATTGTATGCCCTTGGCCATCGAGGACCCGTAAAACACTCGACGGCCTATCTTTTTTTGTTTTTTTTGTTTTTGCCCTAGTGCGGAATAGCGCTGGAGGAAACCAAAGCTGAAACATAGCTCTTTTGTGCCCCATAAAAAAAATCATGTGCAACCGCAGGGTATACGTATCTACGATAGGTATTTTTTTATTTATATTTCGTTGCCTATGAGCGCCTCTTATATCCACTGTACCAGTAATCTCATAAGAATTAAGCACGCGGTACCACCCCACCTGACACAGCACGTTGTTCCTAAATTGCCATTTCCCACCATATAGGGGAAAAAAAAAATACGTAACTTTTTCATTATTACGCAAATGCGGGGGAGGGGGATAGTATTTCTGTTCCTTCCCAAAATGACTCCACAAATTTCATCATCAAGGGAAACGAGCTGGTCAAAATAAATTCCAAATTATTTTGTATCAGTACAAATGAGCAAATTTTCTTGCCATTGTTCCACTAATTTTTTTTTCTTATTTGTATGTTCTTTTCAAATAAATCGTTTTCCTTTTTCCGATATATGCGCCTTTTCGCTGTTGTCAACCCAAAATGGGTGTATACGTCCCGCAAATTTAGGAGGGGCAAAAAAAAAAAAAAAAAAAACAGGCGCACAGGACACTCGTTCGACAAATTTCCCCATGTGGCTCTCCCCTTCACACCTTGACACTGCGCAGGGTTATGGCAACAGAAAAAGAGAGGAACACACAACAACATAAAAAAGAAAAAGTATCACCTATATTTGCGTAAAACTTTTTATCCATTTTTATTTTTCTGTGTGCCATACCCAAGCTTGAGGAAGGAAACAAAACTTTGATCAATCACCACCTAACTCGCTTAATTCTTCTTGTATAATTTTCAGAAATAAAAAAAAAAAAGATTACCACTTGGGGACAAGAAAAATAAATGTAGATTTGTACATATTTGGAGACATTCCGCTTTTAACATTCCTTTAACAATTTCACATTTCACAGTTCTCATTCTTGTTTGCAAATAAATAATTTTGCCAATTTCACAACCTGTATTGGGCATTTTTTTATTTTTTTCACACCCCAATATGGATCCTGTTGCCATTGTGTTTGTGTGCTGCTTCCCCCAAGGGACCAAACGCACACGTAAAGAGACCATTGCGTCATGCACATGTAGAAACTTCTCCTATTCCCCCAATCTTCATTTCTTTTAAGGCTGCAAAAATTAAGCTCTGCACATGTGTCACCCCTTGCGTGTAGGGGTCACACCAATCGAACGCTGCTGCTTTTACCGTGCAATTTCCATCTCCCACCGGAACTCTTATTTGCTCATGAGAAATGTTAAGTTTTGGCTATGTCTCCCAGCTATTAGCATAACCCGAACGTATTGGGTGCAACTCTGACACGGCGTGTAGATCGGAGAGCACAAAAATGGACACAACCCATTTCCCCTTCTCATCTATCATTCACTCACCTTTTCATATATTTTTACCAAAGCTCCCGCAACGCACATGTGCTACCAAAGGGGCCTTACCTCCCCGTCGCTTCCATCACTTGTAGAGCATCATTGCGCGTTTAAATAAAAATAAGAGCAGAAATATACACTCCGAAATGTCACTCAAATGGACGCTTCTCGGTATAGGAAAACAACGGCATTCAACACTGTATCGTCAATTCACCAGTTGGTGCGCGTGCGACGTGGCTCCCCTTTTTCATAGTAGCTTTTTTTAAAAAAGTTCGCCAAAAGGCAATCCCTGAGAAGGATGACAGTCTTCCCTGAAATGGGATGATAAATGGCCACAATAGGAGTAGCGAGAAAAACGTAGACAATGTACGATATGTTCACAAAGGGGGGGGAAAGTTTAAAATTGTAACAAAAAAAAAAAAAAAAATTACCAACACACGCACACATATATACATATTTATGCATGTGATACACCCATATGCATGCGTGCCCCTAGCTGTTGAGGAAAACAACTGACGGAGGGGGGATTTGACATATCCTGTCGTTGCGCAGCCAACTCGTCTGAAAATAACGGATCCGCGTTAAATGAAAAAATCAGGGAAAAAAAAAAAATCACATACATATGTAGAAAAGTTGAAACAAAACAGGAGGAGACAATTGAATTGGGAGAATGCCGCGCAAGCTTCGTCATGTAGAGTGATCATATGTGCTCGGTGAGACAGACAAGTGGGTATACCCCTGTTGACACGATTTGGATTGGTACAAAAGGGGGTGCTGCTGGGCAGATAGCGCAGCAACGATGCGTTTGCTCTAGCAAGGGAGCGGCGGCGTGGCCTGAAACGCGCTCCACTGTAGTCACTGCTCTCCCCCTAGATGTATATCAAATACACCGCGTTGTCTTCGCGCCTGAGGGCCCACTCGTTCTTCTTCTTGTAAGTAATATCTATGTAGTGATCGGAGAGGAACAAGTAGTTTATATTAATCCTGGAGAGCTGTATATCCCTAGCGCACTTGGATTGAATTTTTAAAAACCCACTGAACAGACCCGCATTTGTGCAGTTCCATATTTTGAACGATAAGTCTAACTTGGAGTAGGAAGCCAAGCAACTCCCCGCAGTGTTAAAGTTAATACAATTAATGTCTCTCTTATGTCCTTGAAAGATCTTCAACTTTTTTGCATTCTTCAAATCATATAAATAAATGCACTTGTTCATATTATTTGCCACAGCTAATCGTTGTGTAAATTTATTAAAGCAGCAAATCGGGTACTGTTTAACTAAGGTGTAAATCAAGCTGGTTGATAATTTCAGACACAGGATACGAACGTTGTTAGAGGGGTCCAAAGAATTCAAAAGGATATCGATTATTACGTCCATGTACAAAATGAACATGCATTTATAATTCTTAATCAAAATTATTAGAAGAAATAAAATTCTGTTCATATAGGATACCCTTTTGTTTACATTACTCGTTATATAATGTAGCGTTTTTAAAAATAAATATGGCTCTATTCTTCCCGTGTTAATTAATATTTTTAAAAAACTCATATTATTCATGGACAGTGTATACAGATCGAAGATATTCAAAATAAAATGACATATGTTAATGTAATTATTTTCATTTATTTGTGACTTTTTCCTCTTCACTTGGATCATCTTTATTTTATTCTCATCACATAATAACTCATACAATTCGTTGTAGTAACTCTGTCCTGTACTCATGGCTTCCACGCGATGAATTCTATTTGACAAGCTCACCTGTCTTACCACTCCAACACCTACCCCTTGGGATGAAACTGAACCACTTGTGCCCCCTATTTCCAGCACCTCATTTGATTTTGCATGGCATGCACTCCTGCCTTCACTTTGTACCTCAGAAAAAATATTTTCATACGAATTCAGTGACAGCTGTTCTTCCCTTTCCGATTCAAACTCTCCTCCCAATTTATCCTTATCTGTGTATCCAACAAAAGCGTCCATATAATTCTTTAAATTTATTTCACTTACGGAATGACCTAACGTTCTATCACTTCCTGCAATGGGCATGGCGTCCCCTGCAAAAGGACCAACAGTAGCAGAGGCCGACGCGGAAAAAGCACCACCACCAGAAGCAGACGCGGACGCAGACGCAGAAGCGGAAAGGGCATTCGTTGCTCCTGCTGATGAACCACCCAAGACATAATAATCCTTCAGTGCCTTAAAATAACTCTCATCAATCATCCTTTCGTTCAAATTAAAATCTTCCTTTTTTAAATGCAAGTTGAAGGAAATGTACGAGATATTCTTCATGTTACTCGTGAAGATGCCCCTCTGGATCAGCACATGAAAATCCCACGTGATAGAAAAACTCAATGATAGCAAGTGAATAAAATGGAACAACTTAAATCTGTTAAACTTGTTTTCCTTCTCGATTAGGCACTGCGTGTCCACAAAAATGTAGTAGCAAATATGATGCACAATTAGGGTTATCATATTGGCATTGGTATAAAACGTTTTGGACTTCCTTAAGTAATGATATTTCACCACAAGTAGTAGCAGTAACAACGTAAGGCAAATTTCGTCCGCATAAATAAATGGGTAAAAGAAAAAGGATCCCACTTTAGGTATAATAATTGTAATCACATAGGTCCCTGACGTATCATATAAAGATATCTCATCCAAATTCTTTTCTATAATTCTTTTTTTCTTATTATTTATTCTTAAAATTTCTGTGCATGTTTTGGCGTACTTATCCAATGTCTTATCCTTTATATTAGCTATCACAGTACACATGAACCTCTGCAATTGTATTCGTATGCTCCTGTCATATGGGTACATCGATATGTAGCTCAGGAGAAACAGATTCAACGAGTTACTCTCTGGTAGGTTCTCAATTATGTACTTTCTAAAGTTGAACAGAGTTGAAGGATCATACCGTCCCCCTGTGCTACTGCCACACCACAAACTCAGAAATCGCAGCATAAAGCAGCAGTACAGTGTCTTCACGTAAACACTATTGCAGTACACATCCACAGAGTTGTTCTCGAAGAAAAATTCCCGGTGGGCTACTGGACTCTTCACTTGACTTTGCACATGATGTGTGTTGCTACCACGAGGGTCCAGCCGTCGGGACCGACGAACCTTATCTTGCTTCACATACAAGTACAGACTAGACTTGTCTGAAGAATAATTCGAAAACTCATCATCTGAATATTTCAAAAACCACTTGGTTGATCTCGTCACGGACCTCTGACGCACTCTGAAATCTTTGTAATAATTGTACTGCATCATCTGGTACTTCTTCCTCCTCGCTCGAGTGTTCACACATTTGGGGTCCTCTAAACTGTGCCACGGAAAAGAGCTTTTAACTGAAGAGGCGTTCCTAATTAGGCTATTTGCAACCCCTCCTTCGCCCTTCTCCGCTTGGCTATGTATCCCAGAAGGTTGTTCCTTAAAGGTGGCCCTCTCAGGAGAATTACCTCCAACAACACTATTGCCATCACTCCCGCTGTTGCTTCCACTTTGTGTCTGGCCACGGATACTCTTCAACATGTCTCCTTCGTTCGGCCGTTGCGTTTTTTCCGTCCCACCTTGAAATTCCTCCGTCTCACAAAGATCAACACCTGAAGTTACCCCCGGATCGACGGTAAAGATGCTGCTCCCCTCGTCATGCCTATACATCATCAAATTTTTATACTTGGAAAATTCCATAACATCGTTGCACCGTCGCTTGAGACTCCCCATCTTTATCCCCAAAATGAGGTACTTCTTTTTATACTCTTCACTTAAGAAATATTTGTTCTTAAATTTTTTATTGTAAATATATGGCTCATCAATGTTTAGAGAATCAAAAATGAATTTTTCTTTTTTTTTTTTTTCTTGAATCTCGTACTTGTCTCTCCTTCCTCCACTAATGGTAACATATACATGTCCCTCACATGTACCCTCCTTCCGCGAATGCATCTTGGAGAAGTAATATATTTGAGTCGAAATAGGGATCAACGTTGACAGAGTGGACTCCTTCCCGTGAATACATAACGAGAATGGAATTGAGGGAAAACTTATGAGGAAGGAGAATAATTCCCTACACAGATGCACACATTTCGGTGGCAAAAAAAAAGGAAATAAAAACTTCGTCAATGGCATAGCCTTCTTGGACAAATTGCTGTCTCTAAACAGAACATAACTTATGACTGGTACTTGGCTTTTCACAACGTAGCTGCAGGAGTGCTTCCCATATGCGCTTCCATGCACTTTTGCGCGGTAGATGCTCTTCCTGGGGGGGTTGCAGTGGTATATTTCTCCACTAGGCTCCTTTCCCCGCTCCGCAAGGGAAATGCTTCCTGGCGCAACTCCTCCGCTTCTAACCTTTCGTCGATCATTCCCCCTGCCGCTGCTTCGGTCGCTATTCATATCGGTGCTCGTCCAGCCGTCAACCTCACCGCCAAATACACTGTTAACCTTCCTACCACCCGTGTGCACCCTGTTGAGGATGCGCACCGATGTGATGTCTACTCCCAGTTTCATGTGGCGGGTCTCCGTGGGGACCACACACATTGCAGCAAAGTCTGAATCATACAGGGAACGCAGGAAACGCCCGCTCCCATAATCATAAATGAATACCAAGTTGTTCATCGAAGTGATATACAAGAGAGAGGAGAACGTATTGATATACACATGATTTATTAATTTAAAATTAATTTCATTCTTCTTCTCTAGCTTCCTAAAAGAACAGTAAAGACATACATTGATCATATTCCTTATCTCCCTATGTTGTCCCTTGCTCTTTTTATGAATTTTTCTCCTCACATGGAAGAAGCTTCCTTTAGAATCACCAACAGATTTGTTCATGGTGCCCGAGGTGGCATAATAAAAACCTTTCATTAGCTTCATCCTTAAGTCTTTTTTACTTTTTAGCAGATGCAATAGGTGGTTTTTCCTTTCTGTAACTTTTCCATTATTGTATAATCCTTTTTTTTTAAAAAAATGTGTCATATAATTTAAAAACAGAATTTTTTTTTTTTTTTTTTGGCGAATGTCCAACTCTTTCTTCCTTAACGATTCCTCATCTGTTGTTATAACTATACTGCATCTATCATTTTTACAAAAAAGATATTCAAAATTATTTTCGTCGTATTTGCTTTCATTCAAATTGAAAAGAATTAGATTATTACTAGCATCACAACTTAGAACCCAAAATGATTCCGTTTTTTTCCTCAAGGAACATGTGTCCACTTTCTTCGGAACATTTTCATCAATAACGCTATGGATGCTTCTAACATAGTTAAAATGGCAAGCCTTAATAAACTTCTTCAACTTAAACATTCTTATGTCCCATATTAAAATGTCTCCTTTGCTGGAACCCCCTACCAGGTAATCCCTTTCACAATGCAAAGTCGTTATGAATACATTTTTCTTTAGGACGTAGTTTGGGATGGGTAGCTCTCTAACTAATCTACTTCCCATACCATTTATTATTTTCCCTGCCCTATTTCTCATCATTTTCCCGCGAGAGGATTTTCCATAAGAATTAATTAACGCACTTAACACATGACCATTGGTAAAACTTAAAAAAATGTATATGCTGTTATTCCGCTCTGCTATTGCATACGCCACTATGGACCTACCTCCACTATCTAGTTTTCCCCGTTCCACATGCTTGCCTCGCACACTACACGCCTTTTTCTGAAACAAGTCTGTGAGGAGGTCACTGCACCTACGTATGTTAGGCGGAAGGACATGTTCCATATGCAACCACGCAGTAGCATCCCAATTATCATCCTCCCCCCTCACTTGTGGATTCACCACTTTAACGGAATCCTTTTTTTTCCCCCTCAAAATCATATCATTTCGATTCTTCACAATTTTCATCCCTTCCATGGGCCTCTTCCTCTGAGGCAAAAGCCAAACTTTCTCTAAATTAGTCGTCTTAAACCAGGCACCAAGTAACCCCTCAAAGAGGACAACTCTATTGGGGTTCTTCCTACTTATAAAAAGAAACAATAAATCATCCTTGCACTTTGCATACTTGATAGAATTCATTTTATTCCCTTTCGTATCTCTACACATGGTACTGGTTTTCATCACATTCATGTACTCATGAAAAGTGTCCCTGGAGAGCATCATCTGATCATTCGAAGCTGCCTTCGACTTTATGGACTCCATGGAAATGTTATTTTTTAAATAATTTGGAGTCATTTCTGTGCTATCATTTATTTTTATCCTAAACTTATTGCTATTGTTGTAGTTGCTCCCTCCTTCATTATGATTACTCGCTCTGTTCTCCTCTCCCTCTTCATCCTTATCACCTATCATGTTCCTCTTCCTGCATATGCGTTCCTTGTATATCACTATAGGGATGGGAGTCTTAAGTGAACCCAAATACTTTTTATTAACCTTCATCAGGAAGAAGGACTTTATGTTTGACTGGAAGGAAAGGAACATGCTTGAAAATTTTAGCGGTAATGTATAGCTGTAAAAGTTCCCTTCCGTTGTCCAGGCAATTATCGAACCGCATACATTTTTTGCTAACTTTTGCATCACGTCGAAGGATTTACTTTTCAGTCCGCTGCTTTTGAAAATACCTACGGGGAGGGGGGCGGTGGACCGGTTTATCGGTTTAGCCGTTTAGCCGTTTAGCGGCGTAGAAGTTGTGCAACACAGTAACGTGCCTAGAAACGGGAGCTACTGAGGGAAGAAGCGAGGTGAACACATCTCAAAAAGGGCTCATCGCCACTCAATCACGCCGCTGAGTGTTCCCCTCAACCGCCGCGATGCGACGGAGCAAAGACTTACCCGAGGAAAACTTCAACAGGGGGCGGCGCACGATCTGCAATCCCACCCAGTGCGGGTTCCTGCGCTTCCTCTTCTCAGAATTCTGGTGATAGTCCGGACAAAACAAATCCATGAGGGGAACAAACATGGAGGAAAATTCCTTCCGCTCATAAATTATCAATCTCGTCTCCTGCAAAATTATAACGTAGCTGTCTATCACCCCTATACGGCTCGAGTTCCCATTAGTCGCAATTTCAACCCAGTCCTCAGCTGGACTCAGATTAGAAATAAACTTAGCCTCTATAACATACAATCCGTTGCATTGCTTATACACATCTTGGCACTTCAAGCATCTGTCGTGCGTTTTCAAATTCATGTCATGAGAAGTGTGCACATTTATTTTTAACAGTTCATCCATTATACAATTCTCTGCTATTTCACTCACAATTTCGTTATACAAATCCAGTTCCGTTTTTTCTATCCTTATTACGAATCTACATTTACCTTTGTAATAAATTAAAAAATCAGTCAGGTCCCAACATATGATGTCTCCATTCGATAGCGATGCAACAATAAACACTGGGCAGTTGAATAAATTATTTAACTTGTTCTTAACTCCGTCCTGCTTCATTTTTTCAAATTCTTCATTCTGATCGCTGGATGAATTATTGCCACTCAATTCTTCTTCATCATCTAGTAACGCCACCCGTTTAAAATCTTCGTCTTTTTTTTTATTATATGTGCCGTATAATTTCCTCTTCAATAATTTAAAGCACTGGATCAGTGACCGTTGGTTGTCCTCTTTAAGGTATGGAACTAACCCTGTTGCGATGCAGCATATTCGTAACTTCTCCTTATTGTTACTTCTTTCCGTTTTATTCCTACCTGTAACATTTTCTGCTGAAAATTTCTGCTCCTCCAAAGTAGCGTAGCTATTTGTTTGCCTCTTCACGTTATGCCTTAAACTGCCACCACCAACGTTTGTATAACCCCGTTTAGCATACTTTTTTTTTAGAGGCACGGATCCGTCTTCTTCGTGTCCTTCCTCGTCTGCACCTTCTCCAGGTGCTGCGCTCCCATATGGAAGGGAACTTCCATGCGGTTGTTCACTTGCTTCAGTCACTACACTCCACGACCCTGCTGCTACTCCATCCCCCCCATTGACAACCATCCTCTCGTTCATTTCCCACGAACTGGACGAAGAAGAGTGATGTCTATCAACTGAATCCCCAACGAAATAACTTATACCTGTGCCAGAAGCTTTATTACCGCCATGGGTTGAATTTGAAACGGTACCGGAAATGCCTCCACTCCCTCGACCTCCTTTCTCCCCTTCCACACCCCTTTTCTTATAATTACTTCCCTCCATATAATTATCCAATGTTAACTGAGCAATGATCTCTTTGTTTTTGTTCCCCCACAGATCCATCAGAAGTACCTTCTTATCTCCACACAAAAGTATAAACCGCCTATCTGGCAACACCCTCAAATTGTAAATAAAAAAATTGAAACCCTTCACCACTTTAAAGCATCTCCCTTCATCTAGAGACCAAAAATATAAGCAGTTATCCAGGTGAAGTGAAATTAGAATCTCCTTCGATATGCACTCGATGAGGGACGAGCAAGATAACCCAAAGCATAACTGCACGATGCTGTTGCTACATGTATTGGTGTTATTGTTTAGCAGGATACAGTATGGAAGAAAGTTTATTCTATTTTCTGGTGACTCCACTGCTGGATTCCCTCTCTCTTCTTCTCCTCCTTCTGCTTGCTCCCCCAACTTCACATTACTCCTTCCTCCGCTATACACATATGCACTCGTCCCATCAGCGTTTAACTGTTCTGTCTTTCCTCTTCCCTCTCCAACATACAGTTTAACCTCACTAGCCTTATGTACATTATGGCCTTGTTCTCCTTCCCCTGCAAAAGTACTACTCACAGCGGTTTCATTCCCATCAGGATGTTTCCCCACAGCGCTCAATTTGTCCCCTCCCCCGGTGCCTTTTTTAAAGTCCTCTTTGTAACTCCCACCTGGTGACACAAAGACACCACCAACACGGTCCACGGGAGTCACACATGTTTCATTCGAAACGGGGAAACTAACATTTGCATTGGCACAACTACCACCCCCTGGCGCGCTACACACATTTTCTACAACTTTAAATAAAACTATACTGCCCTCGTAGCTACCCACTGATAAAACGGTGCACCCCTCATTCATACAGTAGCATGAAATGCTAAAGGGGGACTTGAAGTTGGGCCATATGATGGATCCTAATTTTAAATCCTCGTTCATTGTTTATTCATAGTTGGGTGCATAGTGCAAAGGGGCAGTGAGGAAGCTGCGAGGATACTCGTGGAGGAAAGGTAGCACGTTTCGCCGTGGCAAATTGGCAGTGGCAAAGTTGCCGCAGGGCAAGAATCAAATAAAGGCAACTCAGTCACAGCCAGTCGGACAACCGAATAGCCCAAATCAAATTTGAAACGTCTCTTCCTCGCAACTTCGCACCATTCATGTCTCCACAAGGATTTTTTTTTTCTATTAGAATTAAGCGATGCATTGGTTTGGTCCCCTTCGTTGCTTCTTTCTTCACTGCGCTCCGTATGGTGGCCTGTTCGTCCAGAGGCCAAGGATACCGCTCACTCACAGTCTGGTTATTATTATGTGTCAATTCACTTCAGCTCCTGTCACTTGAGCTTATTCTATTTATTTCGTTCTTCTTTTTGCTCTCCCCGTAGATATGCTGTTCAACTCCGCCCGCGTGCAACTTCCGCTAGCAGATTTGTGGCTTATTTTGCTCGCCTTTGTGTATACGTTTCTCCTTTGTGCCGCACTTCACATAATTGTACAGGCGCACATAATCATTTTTAGCTGCGCACAATGGGCTCAACTGCGGGCAATAGCCTTAATCGCGCACAGTCATTTTAATCCCTTTTTTCTGCTTTTTTTTTTTTTTTTTTTTTTTCGGTCCTCATTTAGTTAAAATAAAATTCGTTCGGTTACAATTTCACGTTCGTCCCGCTTAACATGTACCTTGGCGTCATGTCTCCCTACCAATGTATGGCTACCCCTACAGGCACATGCACATATTTCATAACCCGTGATGGCAAAATTACTTGTTCTCAATTCTATGCAAGCACATGGAAGCAAAATGGTACAGGAATGGTTCCCCTTCTGAACACTTTTCAAACGTTAGAAAAACAAAATGTGGTTGGCCCAGCCTACCCCTTCTCTTACTACATCCCCCTAAATAGGGGACATGTCGGGGCAGGACCGAATCTTTTCTCTTTGTATAACGGACACACCCAATAAGGTCCATAATGAATGGAGCAAATGGGATAACAATTGGTTAACTAAAAAAAAATGTAAAATGTGAAATCAGGAAAGGAATAAACTAAAGGGGGTAACCCATGTACTAATGCTGCTGCGTAGTAGCCCTGAACGTGTCTCATCTAGAATCCCTCCAGTAACTGCTCATTTGTGAGACGCCAATTTGTGAGGAAAGACCCTTCGCCATGACGTTGCTACACAACGGTTCGTATGAGAAAATCCTCACAAGGAATTTCTTAAACGAATCGAGCTCCCCCAGGGTGGGTATACCTACACGTTTTCGACGAACTGATCGAACTGCAAGGGTTCCCCAATGTAACCGCAACTTTGCAAGCGCAATTTTGTAAGAATAACTTTTTTTTTTTTTTTCTTTTTCCCTTAAGTCTACTTGCTCTATCTACGGAAGATGCCACACGAATTGTGCTACTCTTTTTTAATCCACCATTTCGATTTTTTTGTTTTTCGAAAAAAAGTATACAAAGTGTGACGCGCTCGCCGTTATTGGGATTTCTACGCTGGGGTGACCCGGCAACGGGCGTAACGCAGATTCGCACAAGGAGAACCTTCCCACGTGAGAGGCCTGAAACGACTTAACCTTAGCTTCTAAATTGACCTGCAGCAAGGATGGTAACATCTTTGCACAACGACACCACACCACAGTCTCGCCAAAAAAAAAAATTGCAATTTTTTCAACTATGCGGATTTTCATTCGTTAAAAGTTAATTTGAAAACTGGGATAATAATTTATAAAAAGGAGGAACGATGAATCGACACGAACATCAGTGGAGTGGTACACATGTGTGCATTCTCGTATGTACAGGACACACACTTTGGACACATGCAAGTGCTCGTTGCGCACACGAGAACTCGCACAAATTTGGTACAATTAAAAAAAAAAAAAAAATACTGAAGAAGGAAGAATACAGGGGGGAAATTTCAAACAAACTTTAAAAAAAAAAAAAAATATAAATAAATAAAGCGCAGGCGAGCGAGTTACGCGCGCCAGTGTATGCATCAGATGGGCACCTCTACATGTTCCTTTGAAACATATTAAAGGGGAAGAGATGGAAAAATTGACCATGTAATTAAATGGCGAAAGCACCAAGTGGCAAAAAGGCAAAAACAACGCATTATACAACACAAAAGAATTAAACTGCGCCAGCTTTCCCCCCCCCCACACACACACACCCTTCGAAGTCATATGTTTAAATATGGCTCTTTTCGGCAAAAAAAAAAAAAAATAAAATAATAAAAAAAAAAAAACTTATTTAAAAATATAAACAAAGGATGCAACTTTATAAAAAGGCAGGAAAGGGATAAAGAAGGTGGGGGAAAAACAAATTTGCAAACGAGTACCCCCTATGCTGGCGCGCATATATTGTGCATATAAAATATAAGACGCTGATGCACTGGGCCTGGGAGGAGGTTAATAGGTATATGCAAATACGTAGGATTATGCCTAGTCGTAACTTTAATTGGCATTTTGTGTGAAGTGTGGAAAATGGGGAAAAACACATGACAAAGCGCCCGTCTCCAATGAACAGCGAGCGCACAAATAGAGGAGTGGACACCTCTCACCAACCCCACCCCCAGTCCTTGACAGTTCTTACTTTAAAAAAAAAAAAATAATAAAATAATAAAATGTATTACCCTATATAATGGGCTAAATGTTCATTTGTGCCATGGAAATTCACCTCTGTTCCGATCACCACCACTGCCGCTTGTCTGCTTTCCTTGCGTGCTATCGGAGCCAAATACGGATTTCCCTCTTTCAGGTGCATAACAGTCCCGCTCAAATGTGTAACTGTTTAGACAATTGGCTGTATTTCGCTCACTGATTCTTGTGGATTCCTCTTGGGCTGCACTTTTGGTTGCTCCCCCCCTCAGGGGCATGCGCCTCGCTCGCACCACTACCATCATTCCCAGCGTTCTCCACATTCGCCCCATTTTTGTCCAAGCCAACACTTTCACTTGCGTCATGCCCCTTTTCGTTCTTCTTTTTATCCTTGCCATCGTAACCCTTTAGCCAGTGCAGTCTATCGAACAGGTATTTTTTCACTGTGCTTTGTTTCTTTTGGCTATTCCTTCCGTCCGCTACGCCTTCCGCTACGCCTTCCGCTACGCCTTCCGCTACGCCTTCCGCTACGCCATCCGCTACTTCTTCTCCTACCCCTGCCGCGATCTCCGCCGCTGCCTCCTCTGCTACCTCTTCCCCCCCTGCAAGCGAGCTGGACGCACCCCCGACAGTGCCGTCCTCAACGCCGTTACAAAAGCTAAAACTACTCGGCTCATCGCCATGCTGGCTGCTCCTCGATTTCTTTCTCATATTTTCCTGTTCGATGTCACTGTCTTTGCATTGCCCCGAGCTGTTATTGCTGTTACTTCCGTTACTATACGTGGAACTAACTTTTTCGTAAATCCTTTTTTCGTTTTTCTTAGAGACACTCCTAACACTTCCGCTTTGCTTGTTTGTGGGGTTATTGAGACTGCTGCTCTTTTCACTGGGGCTCCCAGAACAATCATCACCTTTTGCACACGAATCGGTATGCGTGGCATTTCTGCTAGGATCCTCCTTCTGCTTATCATTACGGGTGGCACCATTCACCCCAGTGATGCTCGTGGAAGGCTCCTCCTCATCCTTGTGCACGTTACAACTCTCCTCCATGCTTCTAGACCCAGGTTGACAAAAGGGACCCGCTGGATCTATATCTCCTTCGCTGAAGCCCTCCCCGCTCACTACACTACCCACAATTACTCCTTCATCCCGATGGGAATCATTTCTGCGATTGGTCATATATGCATCTGCAATATTCATAAAAGCAGAGGCCTCCACTCCGTCGGCAGCCAAGTCGATTGGGTTTGCCGAGTCGTTCCCGACAGTAGGCTCACACTGGGTTGTCCTGGTAATCTTCGTCGACCCCGTAACCCCCATGTCTGTATCGGACGAGATGTCCGTGCCAAACGCTTCCTCAGCGTTCACACTATTGTTAACTTCAAACATCGTAGCTGGGTCGAACGTGTTATTTGTTACGTTGAGTCCGCTGGGTACGGATTCGTACACCCTGCTTGTGACACGTAATGCATTCGTGTTAATTCCTCCCGCATCGCTCTGGTTTGTCATTCCACCGCGTATGCTTTCACTCGAATTATTATTATTAGCGGTGTTGTTTGCCTGCTCATCACGGTTTGCGTCGTCCCTGTTGGACGAGCTCGCCTCCTCGAGACCTCCTCCTGCTCTCTCCTGACCCCATTCATGTAAATTTCGGCTACCAGAATTTCTATTGCTGATTCTGGAAAATACTTGCGGAGCAGTCACAAACCCAATTCCCCTGTTCGTGTCGTTATGTCCAAGTATAAAAGTGCTAAAAATATTTTGTATAATGCTCTGTGTCTGTGCAGATGCAAATCCTTCAACCATGTTGATGTCGTATTCTTCAGTGAAGGGAATGAACCTTATCCCCCCTGCTTCTTCAGCACCTGCGCCACCGGCCTGTTGTGTGGACGGATCACTCACTTGCCCTGAATTGACATTTCGCTGCGTAGTAGTGCCACTAGACTGTGCAGTAGTACTACTAGCCTGCGTAACCGTGCCATCGTTTCTATTTGTCGAGGAGGCTATATTACCATCAGGGGACTCCTCCTTCTCGGGTGAACCCTCATTGTTCCCCTCTGAACGACCATTACCAGGAGCAGTAGCAGTAGCAGCAGCAGAACCAACGTCATTTGTGCCAACCCCACTGTTACTCACAGAAGTACTCTCCATGTTAACGCCGTTAGAATTGTTAAACGTATTGTTACGAGAAATTTCAGAGTTTATTCTTTCTCGTAGTTCCTCCCTCTTGGAGTTATATTCCTGATCATCCGTGGGAAGTTCAAAGCGACAAGTAGGACAAGAATTCCTTTCCTTCAACCACGGAATGATACATGAACAATGGAAGACATGTCGACAACGCTCATTATCTGTTATCCTATGTACCTCATCATTTTCTTTATACTCTTCTCTGCATATAGCACATGATTCTAATTCCTCCGCTCTCTCTTTAGTTAAAACTTCCACCTTCAAATTTTTTATAATTGCTTCGGATGCAGGTGGGGGTCCATTTCTAGAAGGATCACTCTCCATGATTATTGTTAAAACTTGGTCCAGAGAAATATTTTCAAAGGAGTTGGTTAGTATATTGTCTATGAGGTCGTGGAAGTTTAATCTGATTGGTGAGTTGAGGGGGATGTTGGTGATGTCTATGGCCCTGGTGATAATCCTGG